TTGTGCCGAGAAAACAGCAAAAATCAAAGGTTGTTTAGTCCTTCGGTTGTCCTTAAGAAGTCACGTAGCTCAGCAAAAATCTTCTTCTTAAGACTTTTAATGACTGTATTTTCGATGTGTTGTTATGCTTTACAGATTGAAAAGGAAACCACTTTCCACGATCAATCGCCAAGCCGTTTGCATTTCCCCCCACTGCTTTTCGCTGTAATATCTTCAACTTACTTAAGCAGTTACTTTACAAAGATGCTTTTGACAATTTTAAGTGATCAGTTGGTCTTTTTAAGTCCTTTTTATGGCTTTTCAGTCTTTTTTTACGACTTTTGACGGTTAAATCGTTCTTCAGAAAACGCAACTCAACACTCAGATGGATTCCTTAATATAATTGGCTGGAAAATGACGTCTCTCTTGTGATTGGTTCATATCAGTTGATGTGCAAAATCGTGCAATTTAGAGCTCAAAATCTTGCAATTTATGCTGAAATCACTGCTGCAGGGAACCAATCAGATTGCAGGATTTGCTTGTGATTTCAAAATGGATGTAATAGATATTGTAATCATCTATAGTGTGATTCTGATCAAAAGATATCAACATTTGCAATTTATTGCTTGTCATTTTAAGAGATTTTTAATTACATTTTATTGTTTAAATTGAATTTTTGTGATTGTATTGTCAGTGGGTGATCACGCATCCATCTAAGTGATCACACTTCACTCAGTGTGATCACATGTACGCTACTGGGCGTGATCACACACAGGTTCTATGAATATTCTTCAAGTGTGATATCATGAATTTTGGATCACATTCTGTGATCACGGTGTGATCACATGTAAAAGGTTTTACCTGTGATCACTCTTCTATCACGACGTGATCACAACTGTTGCCTCAAACTCGGGGTACTTGGGTCAGCGGTTTTTCGAATCATTCCTTAATTCAGACAAAAATTCATGTTCGTTCGTAAATATGGATTAGAAAGATACTCAAAACACATGTGATTCGTTGTTGACTCGTGGCTCGAAGGTGACTCGGGCTCGAAGTTGACTCGTTCAAAAACAATACTCGTTGTTGTGTGTTTTCACTTCTAGAWAACCGAAGAAAACTWACMAAGGCATCTAGTTAGAGGTGCTTAAAGTTAAACTGAACATCTTGGAGTGAAGGTAATGCACTAGTCAATTGAAACCCCCACCCCCCAACCCCCGCGAAATACCGGGGAATTTAACATTTGAGTGGTGTTAAAATCAGACATTTTCCCCGGTAGTCGGGGGCACATTCACTGTTAAAACCCCCGCTATTGTGGCCCCGTTATTTTGGTTTAGTAGTCAACAAGAAACACATATCACGCCAACTCCAAATAATTCTTGTGCTACACAGAGCCAATTGTTGTGTGTTCCATGCACTAATATTCAATGCTCAATATTTCCATGGGCTCTGAACCTCAAATGAACAATGCTTGTAAATATTGCGAAGCAGTAGTTTTAATAGATTAATCATGATCTGATTCTACATTCGAACTGACCGAAACGACTAAACAAAACCCGCGTATAAGAACCTGGGTTTTTTAAGAACCTGTTAGGCTAAAATTCTCATTTTAAGACCCCTCCACATAAGAACCTATTAAGCCTACAATTTTAAGAAAGGTTCTTATCAGTGGAGTTCAGTGTAAAAGTGTATAGGTAGAAACTGCTATAAGTTTGTTTGAGCATGTGTTTTGTGTAGGACATACTGCTTTGTACTAGGCTACGGGCTGCCTGTGCTTGGAATCACAACGCCTCCTTGGTATTTTTCAAGATGGCCGACCTCTTGTTTCCAGGCCCTTACACATTCAAGCGAGCGTTAAAATCCTCGCTCGATTCCCCGCTGAGAAAACCATTCGTTAAATCCCCGAACCCCCGGTGCAATCATGCTCTTAAAAGCACATTAAAAACGCGTCACGTCTCCGTTCAGTGCCCCGCTAGCCGCTGGGGTCGGGGGGCGGGGGGCGGGGGTTTCAATTGACTAGTGCATAAGGTGTGATTGGGGTCTCGTCGGATTTAGTCCTTGATACAAGCATTGAAAGCCAACCATGTAATTTGTATAACTTTGAACATTTTGAGAGTGATTTCACAGCTCAGGCTCCCCTGCCAAAGACCAGATTAAGATTTTTGCGAAGGAAAAACGTAGAAAAACCCTTGAACACAGAAGAGAAAACGAGAAAAAACAAGAAACGTACTCAAAATAATTAAATATACCACAACTAGACAAAAAAAAAGAGGAACAAAATTCATTAAATAATTGAATGCATCTATTAAATAATTATAAAATAAAGTAAATTAATGGGATTTAACAGTGGTATATCTACTGAGTAGCTATTCATCCACTTATAATTAAATTCAGTGAATTTAGAATTCATTTTTGCGGAAGAATCAGGGAAAAAAACTCTCAAAGCACAGGAGAAACTTAACACACAACTCTCTACTCAAAATGGAAACCCGAGGATGTACGGGAATAATAATAAATAGATAATAATAATAGTAATAGATTATATTTAGTATTCTGGTGTTCTTCATCTTTACTCATTGTTTTATACACTATATACTTATTTCAAT